TTGCTAGAATCTGCTGAAAGTAAACCTATGTATACTCTATGAATCAGAAATCCACCCTAGATGTATATCCACCAGAAATAAGTACTAGAGTGCTCATAGAAGAAATATTTGAACAAACTCAAAAGATGTCAGTTAGTGACAGAATGAATAAAGTACAGCATACATTCACAGAACAAGGAGAATGAATGTCTCACAACTAAATCTAATAAAATAGATGAATCTTAGATAATATTGAGTGAAAGAAGTCAGATACAAAAAACTATATATTTCATGATTCTATTTGTACAAGGAACCACATAAGAGGTCAAACTAATCTATACTATTGGAAATTAGGAGAGTAACGATATTATTTTTGTAGGCCTGCCATAAAACCTTACCATAGAAGAAGTGACTTCAACAGAAGTTTTCTCACATTTCTGAAGGCTAGAAACTTGAAATCAAGCTTCTGGCAGTGCTAGTCTCTTCTGAAGCCTGTCTCCTTGGGCCATCTTTCCACTGCATCTTTATATCACCTTCCCTCTATGCTTGCCTGTGTCTAATCTTTTCTTATAAAGGTACTGATGAGACTGAATTAGGGCCCACCTGAATGACCTCATTTAATCATCTCTTTAAAGACCCTGTCTCCAAATATAATCTGAAGTACTGGGGGTTAGGACTTCAACCATAGGTGGTGGGGCAAAACTCAGCCCATCACAGTGCCCCTTGGTAGGGAGGAAAGTAACTGAAACTGAGGGAGGATACCCAGAAAAAGTGAGGTTTAAGAGAACAGAAGTCTTCTCAAGAAGACCCCAAGGATACACCTGCGAGGTCCTCCCTGTGGTGACTCAGCTCTTAGGAATTTGTCACTTACCTTTTTGGGATCTGAAAATGAACTCTTGGTTCAGCTTCTATAGAAGCCTGCAGTTCTTTAAGAGCTGGAGCCTACTTCTCCCACTTGATTCAAACTGACCAATGAGAAAGATACCCCAGGGGCTGAAACTTTTTGAATGAAGATAAAAAGGGAAAGACCAAGCTAGCTGGGGACGCCATTTTGAATTCCTCTATGTTGCTTGCTCCTCTGGCTGAATAAAAGCCTCTTCCTCTTAAATATGGTGTTTGGGTGTTCATTCTCTCCACTGGGCCTCATTTTCCTGCAACGAAACAAGCTTGAAGGGAATTTCTCAGCTGCTGGAAGTGGTCAGTTTCTTAATCTCAGTGCTGCTTACACGGTGGGACAATTTGTGAAAATCCAGCACACTGTTTACTATTCTGTATGTATATTTTACCTCAATTCAAAGTTCAAGAAATTGAAAGTGAAAGATCAAAGATGGTAAGATGAAAGAAAATAGGCTTTAGAAAAGGATGAAGTACAAATTGAGCTGTGGATAGACTGAATTATTTAAAGCTTGTCCTAATTAGGAATTATTACATGGTCTCTGGCATCCAGGCATCAGATTATCCTCTTGGCTTTCCTGCTTTTATCAATTACTCCCCATAGAGCC